AGTGGGGAGCAGAACATGTAGATCATGGAAGTACACTGCTGAGGGGAGCAGCAGACAGGTCAGGAGAGGTCTGCCACGCCATGTGAATCACCTCTGGAGCAGGAGGTTATCAAACTCATGGGGAAGTGGTTTTGGCTTCTTAGTGCTGTGCTTTAACCCACTGTGCCACCAGGGAGGGCTGGGATTCTGTACTTTATATACTCTTCAAAATGTACATATGTGATAACATTTTATATTGCAATTTTCAGTAGCATATGTCTTCTCCACTAGATCAAAACTTTCAAACACAAAGAATATTTATACTAATATTGTGTTTCTAAAGCCTAGTCTGAACTTTGCCTATGTATAAGTGACTAATAACTGTCTCCCTTTCATGTAGGCAAACTAAATTAACTATGTGTCATGTGAGTTGGCTATGAAAATCCATCCTGTGTATGTATGACAGATCAGAAGAAGCATTTGGCATTAACTACTATGTATAGCTGCATGACAAATTGTTTAATTGGGTTAATTATGGCTTGCTTTTTTTTGTCTTTAATTATCTATGCTGCAATTAATCTCTTGTTCAATAGGAATAAAATGTTATATTTACTTAAGGGCATGTTAGAAAAATGACCCCAATATGTAAATATAGTTACCAAGCATCAGAAAGAAAACTAAAGTTACATGGACTAAAACATAATCGTGAATTTGTTCATAGTGATAAAATAATTACTTGTTAAAACATACTAATCATTATTTTACAATTGATTATATACACTTTTCTCAACATTTTATTATAAACTTTTCTAGCAAGAGCTTTTGTTAAGAACACTCATATACATGAATGATATACTTTTCATAAACATTTCACTATATTTCTTTATCAAGGACCTATGTATCATATCCCTCTCTTCATCCATCAATCAATCCTATTCCAGAAAGTTTTGAAATAAATGGTAGACATCACCTTCATATTAAACAATATTCAAAATGTTGCATTTATGGATTACAGTAGTTATCCTGCTGACTGATTAAATTAAATCCCGCTGACTAATTCCTCAATCATTGTTTATATTTGGAAGTGGCTTGACTTGATAGTTGTAAGTAATTATTGAAAATTTTAATTTTATATTAAAAATATTTAAAATATAAAATTAATTAGAAATCAAGGAAAGAAATAAAATACCTAGCAAGTAAAAGTATTATATATTAGTCTAGAGATATTGGGAAGCAAGGCATTTAGAGAAATTGTTTTATTTTATTATTTTAACATTGTTGTTAGAAATATTAAGTATGAAAACATTGCATAAATGATAGTTATAAGTAAATATTTAGAAAATAGATAATTTTGGAAAGAAAAAATAGTTGATTCTTATGATTAGTGATAGTTATGTCTTATAGTCATAATAATCATTAATCAGCAAATACAAGATCAATTTCCTACAAAAGTTTGCTCACATCTTCATCAACTAACTAAAGAATAACCTTATTCTATTTGTGTTTTTGTTAAGGACACCTTACCTTATTTATCACACTATTAATCATCCCTAAAACATATTTTGGTAAACACAATGTAAAATGAACTTGTTTTTGTACATATTTCATAATATGGCAGCTGAAAGTAAACTTTTATGACTTCCAAGGGAAAAATATTTTTTGGGTGACAACTTTTTTTTTTTTAAGATTCAGTTATTTAAGCTTACAGAACTGGGTACAGGCCAAAGG